TGAGGCTCCACTGGGACAGTTGCATATGTCTGTGAATTGGAAAATAGCAATTAGAAACTTCTTGAAAAAGAGCTAGTGGAGAAATCAATGCAGGTACATAGGGCTTCTGTGAAACAGGCTGCCTGTGTATGTGTGGATGTGTGAGGTCTACATCACAGAGCTGTGGCAAAGGACAGATTTGGGAGGTCATACCAGAGCAGACAGGATGGACAGGCAACAGAAGCTTGCCTCCTAAGCAGTCCTACTGAGATACTTGGCTGACCCTGACCCTGGCTGCTGCTGCTCTGTTGAACAGAAGATGGGTACAATTCAAGATGGGGTTCCTTAGTCCTCTGTACTGGCAAAGGGGTGCAAAGAAAGGCCATCTTCTCTCTCTGGGGACAGGGCCTGGGAAAACAGGTTCTGTCCTTTCTCGTGTGGCAGTTCTCCAGCAAGGTCCACACACCATTCTCTCCTCATTTGATGGCTGTCAAATATGAAACTCCCTGATGTCCCAGATAACTTCCCTCAATGCACACCTTTTAAATCCCTACATAGCACACACCACAGTAGAACACCATTGATCCTTGCTTCACCGGGCCCCCAGCTTTGCTCCTCTCTGACACGGACCTCCAGCACACAGACCTAAAATATCATTAAATTCTTCAGCCCAAAATAAGGACTTAGTGATGTAGGATTTTCTCTGCTGCTGTTTTCAAGGCTCCTGGGAAAGCCTTCAATTTGAGAAGCTACACAGAAGTGTCCCTGACATGTACCTCCTCACCAAAAATATTTGTAAATTCAAGCTGGTGGGAAATCCGAAGTGCTAACTCATTCAGTAAACTACATGACATTTTGTTTAAAGATCCATTTTCTTGATCATCTGCAAATATCTACCTTACACTTGGAAAATGAAGGCTATATCAACCATTGAAAGCCACTGAAAAAAAAATTTAAAGAAATCTCTTGAGGCCCCTTATGACAAGAAAGACATTGAGGTATTGGAAGTGTGTCCAGAGAAGGGCAACAGAAATGAGGAAAGGTTGGTAGCACAGGTCTGATGAGGAAAAGCTGAGAGAGCTGGGAGTGTTTAGCCTGGAGAAAAGGAGGCTCAGGGGAGCCTTATTGCTCTCTACAACTGCCTGAAAGGGGGCTGTAGCCAGGTAGGGGTCAGTCTTTTTTTCCAAGTTACAAGCGATAGGACAAGAGGAAATGGCCTTAAGTTGCACCAGGGGAGGTTTAGATTGGCTACTAAGAAAAAAATCTTCCCCAAAAGGGTTGCCAAGCACCAGAGGTATTGATGGAATCACCATGTCTGGAGGTGCAGGTGTGGCACTTGGGGACATGATTTAGTGGTGGGCTTGGCAGTGCAGGGTTAGTGATTGGACTCATGACCTTAGAGAGCTTTTCCAACCTGATCAATGACAATTCTATGGTTCAAGATCTTGGTGAAGATTAAAATAATAGTATCTTCTTTTCACATTCCTGTTTTTGTAAGGAAAAACTGTTTTGTGGTAACCTGATTCATGAGCTCAATGCACTTGGGAGCTGAATACACTTCAATTTTGGATGTGGTCTGCAAGATTGCGTAAAGAAATTTGAACCAGCCAAGGAAAATGAGTTAAGAACAATGGTTGTGACTCACATGAATTCTAGAAAATTATTTTGCTTGTTTAGCCTAGAGAAATAAGAGCAGATAACACCACACAATCACTTCATGTACAGGACTGTGAGCAGAGGGAGAAGGGCTGTGCAGGTTTAGCCGCGGTGGATCGAGCAAGGAAGAGGAGATTAAATTTAGCTGGCTATTAGGCACAATTTCCTGAGAGTGAAGACAATTAGGCAGTGGAACTGTTTTGCCTAGTGAGGTAATTACTGCACAAACACTAGATGGACGCAAGCCAAGATTAGATAAGTATAGTGGAAAATGTAGTACAAGGTCTCTCCTGATGAGCCCAGAGGGGCTGGCTTTGCTGGCCGTGTGCCTGGCCAAGCAGTTGCAGCAAACTTTCCCTGAAGAGTTCTTGAGACAACAGGGGCTTTACTGGGACAGGGACTGCAGGACCAGAGCTGACTCTTTTGTCAGGGCAGAGAGCAACAGAGAGCAATGCATCAGCTCCACCTGCCATAAAAACCCACCAAATATCTGAGGAAGTTAAATAAAGAAAGTTGAAGCAAAAAAAATATATAAATAGTAAGTTTTGTGAATGAGTATGAATCTTTGTTAGGCTTTGTAAAGCCCCTTTTTGTTTCATATGGGGCTTGGAAGTTTCTGCACTTGTTGGTTCATGCTGGTTTTTTTCTCTTTACACTGACACATGCCAAGTGTTTGCTGAGTCTAGAGCTGGGACAGCTTCCAGAGAAGGGAGGCAAATTTTTGGAAGAGTCACAGAGCTGAGAGCAGAACACTTAAAATTTTGGACTCCGTTAGTATCTCTCAGAAGGAGGAAACAGCTGAGTCCTCTCCAAAATATATTTTCCTCAGCTATGACAATATAGGGTAACTCCTTCCCCTGTAATTAGGGTGAGGAGATGGGAGAAAGACCCTGACAGACAAGGCTTCATCTCAGCAGAAGAGGGTAACCCACACGTGGCGCAATACCATGGCTGAAGTCTGGAAGCAAAAGGCAATGTGGGGAAAGGAGCAAGCAAGTCATTCTGGGCTGAAAGAAGCACAGAGTAATATTCTTGGGGTACCCATGGAATCCATCTGGATACCACACCAGGGTAATCTAACCCTGGGGCTAAACTCATTCTCATATATCCTTTTTGAGAAGTCTCAGGAGGGCAACAGGCACTCCTCCCCTTCAAGAACTACTCTCTTATGGGAGCATTCCTGGACCATACCCTGATATAATCCAGTTAGAGGCTATCCCAGCTCAAAAACTGGCTCTGTAAGACAGAGGAGAACATGAATGTATAGGACACCCACCCATACACCCCGAAAGATGGAAGCAGAGCAATGCTCAGTGTCAGCCCTGGGTTTTATTTGCCAGCTATTTACTTAATGCAGTAAGTTGTCAGGTATTTAACAGTGGAAATTAGGCTGCTTAACAAAAATGCTGTGCTGTCCAGAGATGCTTAATAACAGCATATTTGCCCACTATATTGGTAATAAACCCCTTGATTTATTTACCTGCCTCATTAAATAGGGGTGAGCCTTCTTAGGGAGGGGAGAGAGGCAACTATTGCCTGCCATCGTCACCACTATCATTTCTCTGTTTAGGGAAATTCCTCCTGAGTGGAAAAAGGCAGAGCTGAGCAAACAGGATAAAGGATTCTGAGTGGGCCAGGAGTCAGGGAACCCTGCATCATCATGCCTTCATCTCCTGTACAGTACCATCCCAAGATTTGCACATGGGTATTATTCAACCTGTAGGCTGGAGCTGCAACTGGGCAACCTTCAGGTTAGAGCCTTAGAATAATTTAGGAAGGAAAAGACCTCCAAGGCAATCAAGTTCAACCATAAACCATCACTGCCAAGCCCACCACTAAACCCTGTCCCCAGCTACACACCTACATGCATTAGAACACTTTCAGGGATGGTGACTCCCCCACTTTTCTGGGTAGCCTGTTCCAATGCCTGACGACATCTTGGGGAAGAAATTTTTCCTAATATCCAATGTAAACTGCCCTGGTACAACTTGGAGCCTGTTTTTTTGGCCCTGTTACTTGGGAGAAGAGACCAACCTCCACCTGGTTCAGCCTTCCTTCAGGGAGGTGAAGCTTACAGAAATCTAATGTCCCTTCACCCCAGCAGGGCTGGTTACAGCAGCAACAGCACATTGACCATGTCTAATTCCAGAGGATGCTCCTTCCCACAGTCCTGACACTCCATTACCTTCTACCTTCAAGCTCAGACTACAGTGAAGAACTCCTGTCATTGCCCATAGTGCAATCACACCAAAGTGCCTGGGATGTCAAATTGCTTCTCCAAGCAGGATAGAGCACTATTTAGAGCAGTTAGCACCAAGCACCTAATGTGCAGTGCTGCCCTCAGAATGCAATCCAGCTTTATCTCTGCTGTCTCTTTTGCTCCTAACTAAGGCCTGTTCAGACATTTCAGGGATATTTTTACCATGATCACAAATTCCTTTCCTGGTTAGTAGCCCCTTTTGACCTTCTTCATGTAAAGCAGATGTTTCCCACTCCAGTCCATTAATCCCAGATACTTCAGGGGCTGGATTCATTCATTTTTTCTGTGCTGGCTTCTGTTGATGTATGTCTCTTGAAACCAGTGATGTTATTGCTCTTTAAAGTGTTCAAAGAAGTAAGGTTTATGTGACTCCTATGAAGTTAAATCAGGTTGAACAGCCCAGTGTAAAATACCAGGATAACTGGAGCTCCGCTCGCAACCTCCCAAAACCCACACTGAACCTTATTTCCATGCCCTGGTATCTCCTTCCTGTGACTCTGCCATTCCCAGTCTGGGGTACCAAGGAGAGGGGCTGCATGAAAGGTGAAAGGTCCAAGGGACCTCTCCAGTCACCCCCTTTCCATGCATTCTTCATTTCTCCCATGCCCCATCTCACCATGCAACTCATTCTACAAGGAAAAAAGGGAAAGGGACCTGAGATTGTTCTTTAATCATTACCTCACTAACCTTTGTTTTATTTCACTCATATGACACCCATAATTTAAGTCTAGACCTAATAAACTCCTCTGGAACACGGTGATGCCACGGCCAGGCACAGTGAAGGCAAAAATGGGAAGCAAAGTTCATGCGTGCTTGAAACCATTGCAAAATGTTCTGAAACTGCTTATATAAGAAAGTAACAACTGCCTGTTCATTGTGGTCATCGTTCGTCACCGCTGTCTCAGCTCTTGCCAATTTACAACCCAGGGAGACCAGATCAGGCGGGTTCAGGCAATTCGTGATGTGAACTTTACCTAAGCAAATACAGGCTGGGATAAATAATTAACAGAAAGCTGTAATATTGAACTGTCCTATGAAAGGTGGGAAGGGGCAGAGAGAATAATGATAGAATGTCAGTCTTGTAAAAAAGCAGCATTTTTCTGACCTTCACTCTAAGCCTGGACTCAACCCATTCTGCTCTTCTCTGATCCAAGCAAAAGCTGTCCTGTAAGGATATAATATGAGGAGAGATAGAAGGGGTGTTTTTTGAGAAAAGCTTTGCAGGATATCCAGTGTGGTCAGCATATAGCCAGGTTTCCCCTGTGCAAAGAAACACAAAAAAGAGGTGTAAAGATTCTCAAAACTGAATTAGGCACCCAAGTTCACATTTACCAGCTGCTAGTGGGGCTGAATGCTTTCTTCATTCCTCTAGAGAACTTTTTCCCTGAGCTGAAGTTCCTGTTAAGGTACAGCCAGGAGGTACCTGCTGAAGTCAACTCTGAAAGGCTATTGGCATGAGAAAAATGCTCTCTGCTTGAGCCAAAACCACCAAGCTGAATATTTTCCTATTCTGTGCATTGTGTCTTTGCTCAGTTAACTCAGAACCATGGCGGTCTCCCCAACAGCAGGAGAGGTGCCTATTTACCAATTCAGAACAGCCTGAGCACCCCTGGTGAGGGGCTTGCTATGGTTTGGAGAGCCCCAAAACTTCCACAGGTGTTCATGACAGGAGACTGCTGTAGTTCAAGGAGGCACCTACCCACCCAGCAGAGCAGTTTGGCTCTAAATAGTGCTCAGATGGGCGCGACTTTGAGTGGTCTGGTCTATTGGAATGAATCTCTGACAATGGCAGGGGTTTCAGAACAAAATGATCTTGACGGTCCCTTCCAGCTCAGGCCATTCTATGATTCTATAGTTCTATGCTCACACAGTGACCTGTCACCCAAACCATCCAAAGGTGAGCATGTTTCCCATCTTTGGCTTCAAGGCCTGTGTTCCAGGGCCTGAGAACAGGCAGGCTTTGACTTGATGTCATCTGCAAATTTCCTGATAGTGGACTTGATCCCCTCATCCACGTCATCAATAAAAACATTGAACGGAACTGGCCCCATCACAAACCCCTGCTGAACACCACTGGTGACTGGCTCCAGCTGGATGCAGCACCACTCTCTGGGCCTGGCCGTGCAGCCAGTTCCTCACCCAGCACAGAGTGCTCCTGCCCAAGCTGTGGGCTGCAGCTTTTCCAGGAGTGTGCTGTGGGAGACAGTGTCAAAGGCCTTGCTGAAGTCCAGGTAGACAACATCCACAGCCTTTCCTGCATCCACCAGATGGGTGACTTGGTTATAAAAGACTAGGTTGGTCAAACACGACCTACCCCTCCTAAACCCCTGCTGGCTGGGTCTGACACCCTGGCCATTCTGTAAGTTTTGTGTGATGACATTCAATATAAACTGTTCCATTACCTTACTGGGTACTGAGGTCAGGCTAGCCAGCCTGCAACTACCAGGATCCTCCTTCCCACCCTTTTTGTGAATGGGTGTCACACTGGTGAGGTTCCAGTCCTCTGGAACCTCACCAGTGAGCCAAGATTGTTGGTAAATGATGGAGAGTGGCTTTGAAACCTCATCTGCCAGCTCCCTCATCACCCTGGGATGGATCCCATCTGGGCCCATAGATTATGGACATCCAAGAGGCTCAGCAGTTCTCTGACTGCCTCCTCATGGATAATAGGGGGACCACTCTGCTCCCTGACACCATCTATCAACTCAGGAGCACAGTTGTCCTGAGGACAACCTGTTTTTCTGTTGAAACTTGATGTAAAGAAGGTGTTAAGTACCTTTGCCTTTTCCTCATCATTAGTTACTAAATTCCCTCCCACATCTAATAGAGAATGGAGGTTGTCCTTGCCCTTCCTTTTGCCATTAATGTATTTATAAAAATATTTTATTGTCTTTACAGAAGTGGTCAGATTGAGTTCTAACTGGGCTTTTTTCCGATCTAATTTTTTTCCTACATGACCGAGCAGCTCCCTTAAATGTATCCTGAGACAACTGACCCCCCTCCTTCCAAAGGTAATACACCCTCTTTTTTACCCTTAGTTCCTTCAAAAGCTTCTTGCCCATCCAGGCCAGTGGTTTTCCTCGACATCTCGTTTTTCGGCACATAGGGACAGTCTGTTCCTGTGCCTTCAAGACTTCTGTTTTGAAGCACACCCATCTTTCCTGGACTCCTTTGTTTTTAAGGGCAGCTTCCCAAGGTATCCTCCAAAGAAGGCTCTTAAACAGGCCAAAGTCTGCCCTCTAGAAGTCCAGTATGGAAGTTTTATTGATGCCCCTCCTTGTTTCACTAAATATTGAAAATTCTATGATTTCATGACTTGACAGTGAAAACTGAAAAGCAATCAAAATACAGGAAACAAGTGAGAACTCTATACTTTCTTTGTAATGTTTTACCAAAGAGGCATATTTAACCTATTTATCTCCTTATTTCAGACAGAGACTATGGGCTGGGAACCCTACACCTGCTCTAGCATTTGGTGGTGTATGTTTTCAACTTGGGTACTTGAGTGTTTTTCACCACCCAAAAAAGGTAGCTTTCCTTTTGGAATGGAAGGGACCAGCCATGGCTCTTCACAGATTTAAGAACCTAAGATTTGCAAATATTTTCAATAAATAAAAGCAAGACCCTGGTTTAAGAATTTTCCAGTGTTTGTCTTAACACTTCTACACATGTGGAGCTGTACAGATTAGTGAAGGGTTTTGATCTTGTTTTACTCAGTCTGGGTGACGCAGTCAGAAGTAATAAAATCACAACTGCTTGTGCTCTCTCTCTTTTCCTCCCTACAGCCTTCATCCATCTACCTCTGTATCTACCTATCACTTGTGCTGTTCTTGCAGTAACTGAATCCTTTCCCATAAATTCAGTGGCAATGGAGAGGTTCCTAGTGAGTGTCCTGGAGTTATTGGAAGGATTGATAGGATTAAAATACCTCCTGTGGTCACATTCAGAGCTTGTTCATTAATTTTGTTCATTTCTTATTGTTTTGGGTTTTTTTCCCTAAAATCAGCCTACAGAGCACATTCATGTTTTACAGATAATATATATCCATTCTTAGATTCATACAGATTCCAGAAGGGATTTTATCTAAGATCCTAAGGCAAACTCCTTGCTGCTGATCAGATGAAACTGTGTCTGGTGGGAAGTCCCCCCACTCTTGTTTTTGAGGATCTCCCATTTCTCTCTTTGATCCTATTCCCTGGGGAATTTCCACTGCTCTTCCTATTTCCTTCTCGTCTGAATTTCTCAAATTTCAGTTTGGCAAACTAAACCCCTTAACAAGAGAAAGAGCTTGCTGGGATTGGTATCAGTTTACACAGAGGTGCCAGGGTAAAAAACACACAATGTTTGAGTTTGCAAACAGCAAGTACTGGTGTATAAGAGGTATCAGGGCAGGGTATAGTAAGGAAAGATGAACATCAGTTTGTTTTTCTTTCTGTCACTGAGAAATAGCACTTGAAGGAATCAGTGAGAGGTGATGTGACCTAAAATATGTGTGCAGAGAGTTGCACAAACCTGGAAATAGAGCTGAGCAGGCTCTAAGATGCCCAGGTCTGGTACAGATGGGCTCTGGCTGGGCTCTGTTGGTAACCAGTGCTTGGCTCTGGAGCTATGTTTTAGAGTGGGACCCAGTTCTTCCTTAGGGCTGCAAGAAGGGATAGGAACCAACAGAGAGACCAGAAGGTCTCCTATTCCAGCTAATCCCTCCTCTACTGCAATCCTTTTGGCACTGCAGGTCTTCGCATTTCAGATCTTACTAAATATGAGCAAAGGGGAGAATAGGCAGAGAACAATGGTGGGAATGGTGTCAGTATTGGGATGCAGTAGGGAGGGAGGAATCTTGAGCAGCTAAAGCTCTTATTCCCCTCTGCTTCTGGACTTGACAGGAGTGTCTGGATTGAATCAGGTATAATCCCTGTCCATCTGGGCTTTTCTTCATGCATTTCCCCAAAATACCAATATACACATCTGACTTGCCTCCAAGGTGCCAGGGATTTGGTATGGATATGCTTTGTTCCAGCTTTTTTCTCTGGGATGTGATGAGGGAAGGTCAGTAAGAACATAAAGCACAGGAAGGAGGTAAGAAGAGAAGAGAACAGTGAGTGTTAGAGGAGATGCAAGGAATTCTTTGTAAATGGCAGAATTTTGTGGCTGCAAAAGCAAAATGTCTTTGTTTGCATTGGCCTTGAAAACAAAAATATATGTAACTGTTTCTCATTTATTCTTGATTTAGTATCTAGTGGTAGCTCTGGCTCTGTGAAAAGCTGGGAGCAGTGTTCCTGCTCCTGGTATGTGAAGATGAACTTTTGGTTGAGGGCCAGGCCAAGGAATTTGGCTTCTCTGCCAGGCCCTGAAGCAGACTGGCTGCCTCAGACACACAGCACAGCAGTGAGCCTCCCTGTGTCTCAAAATGTTTAACCATCCAGGGGCATCTGGCTCCAAAGGGATTGAGGAGAGGGAAGGGGCAGCTTTCCCCTGCTAGTTTGGAAAATATTGAGTAGTGGATTAAAAAAAGCATTTTCCTCGTGAGTTGGACCCTTTAATGATGAGGATTCACAGCACCTTTGGATCAGAATCTTCACCAGCATGTATTCTGACTTTGGGTATCATTAAATTTAAGAGAAGACTCTTTCTCTGCTCTCTTTACGAAAGTCAGAGCCTAAGTTCAGCCAAACACATCAGATGCCTAATTCTCTTAGGCTCATCCATAATTTCCTAGACTCCAACCAGGTTTTCCTGGCCACATCCTTGTGCTCCAAAGTTGAAGGGATCTGGTAGGGATTCTGACAGATGCTGCATTGTACTTTATATAAGTAGTCATCTTTTGTCACATTAATGCTTGCAAAGGTCTTGAGACCCTTAGGAATGAAAAGGATTTGGGGATCAGGCAATCACACACATTGCCTGTATCAGTTTGCTGAGCAGGGAATGGATTTAAGCCCACGTTCAAGGGAATTCTAGGCTTTAATACATCCTGAAGACATCCCAGCTTGCTGATTTTACGCAGTTCTGCTATAACAGCATCTGCTGGGAGATTGTTCTCTGCATTAGTCAGGCCAAAAGTTAGGAGATCCCCATATCTGCAGAGTACTACGGGATGGTATTTTTGTTTTGGTTTCTGTTTCAATTCTTCAGCCTTTACACAATTTGTTACATGAGGGCTGCAAGCTGCAGGCTGCCTACCTTCCTCTCTAACTAAAGGCACCCCTGTTATTTCAGGTAAAGCTTTCCTTCTATACATTCTTGCTTTATTCCATGTCAGCAGCTGGGTTAATTTGGAAGGGTTTGATCTGCATGGGGGTGAAAGTACACAGCCACACAGTCAGGGAGATTTCTGGGCATAGCAAGACAAAGCAATCTCTTCTTTCTGTGTGCCTTCCTTGGATTTATTGTCTGCATCAGCCAAGCTCCTGGTTCCAGCTGCAAGTTTTTATTATTCCAAGAATAATCGTTTGGCTAACAGAGACCTCTCCCTGCAGACAGAGGGAAGGATCAACCCAAATTGATATTTCAGGTGGAAGTTTGCTTAGAGCAGCTCACAATACCAAAGAGAAAACAAAAGAAGCACCGACCTTTTTTTCCCCAGTTGGCCTTTCTCCCCTCTCTCTCTCCCCCCACCTCCACCACCATGAAAAAAAAAGAAAAATAAGTGCAGAACAAGACAGACTATCAATCTGCACTTTATATTCTTTTTCTGAATCTAAAGTGCAGATTCAAATCCAGTGGCTTATAGCATATTTGGGTCAGCTCCTTTGGAAGAAATGGAGAAGGCACACAAAGCAGGCACCTACAGCATCCATCTAGCCATGGGTTGTT